CCCTTGAGGACAAAGGTTCTGTCTTGCTCACCTGCCCTGGTGTGTTCATCTCCAGCACCTGAAATTCTGTGTCAATCAACACTGGGAGCAAGTAGCTCAATGTCAGATTTGTTCCTAATTGGTGTGGACATCTGCACATACTTAATTCTCGCACGAAGAAAGTCCAGCTCATTAGAGCATAGCCATCCAAACCAGAACTATTAGACATGAGGGGATTCCTACTAAAACTCCCACTACCCTCCCTCCTACTAGGTAACTAGGACTTAGGTTCCATAGTAGGCAGACAGATGGGGGAAGATAAAGAAGAAGCTGGCCACCTTTGTTACCTAGCCATGTCCCAGCTCCCTATCTGCTCGACCACCAGGCAATCTGCCTAACTCCTGGTCTCTAGGAGTCACAGCTAAAGGAGCTCAAGACCTTGACCTATGCAAGGTCAGGACAGCTGACAAAGGCACCGCTAGGGCAAACCCTGCATCTCAGAGGATGAGTAGCATGGAAAGCAAATCCTACTGAGGTCCCTTGGAAGTTGTGACAGCCGCAAGGTCATCAACCCAGCTCAATGTCACAAAGACTGACTGGACAGCCTCGGTACCTTTCTGACCTGCACTTCGGGAACATAAAGACTTCCATCATGTCTCCTGTCTTCGCATCCGAGAAATGAGCGCCAGGCCCAGCCTTTTCCACACTCATATCCACACAGCCTCTCTCCAGTCCTTGTCAGACCAGATTATCGGCTTCAGAACAGGCTGCAGACACATCCTTGTGTAAGAGACAGAGGAGTGGGCAGCGAGCCACTGTGGCCTCCTTTCTCAGTGACTAACTCATGAGCCACATTTGCTCTGGGTGCAGCGGGGTGAGAGAGGGCTGCCTGCAGACAGCTGCGAAGCCCACACTCCTTCCAGGAGACAGTGTGCGTCTGCGGCATGTGGTGAGGGGACGGCCAGTCACTTATCACATCTCCTGAGAGAAGGACGCTTTTTAAAAATGTGTTCGATCCCCCAAGGATACCAAAAATTAACTTTAAAAAAAATGCAAATCTCATATCCCAGAAATCTCCTATCCTCTACCCATGGCTTCCCTTCCCTGTTAGCCTGGATGTCACACTCAGAACAAGCCTCAAGTCCATACACGCTCAATGAGCCTCAGCTGCACTGAGTGCTCTACCGGCTTCTCTCTGCTTTTAATTTGTGTCATTTAACTTAACCCAATAGAAAGATGGGCTAGGATGTAGTTCTGAGATACAGTGTTGGCCTAGCATGTACAGACCCTGAGTTCAAAGAGCAAGGGGGTGAGGGAGACAGAGACAAACAGACAGAGAATACGAAACTCAGAGAATTTGACTTCAAGCCAGGCACACCTTTAATCCCAGCACTCGGGAGGCAGAGGCAGGTGAATCTCTGTGAGTTTGGGGCCAACCTGGTCTACAGAGCAAGTTTCAGGACAGGAGTCAAAGCTACAGAGAAACCCTGCCTTGACAACCAAAAAAACAATAAGAACAGAAAAAACAAACAAACAAAAACTGTTTCAAAGCCAGCCATCACCTTCCCAGAAGCCAGATCCTTCCAACTTCCTCATGAGAGGCAACTCTTCAATATCTAAACAGTCCTTGTGTTCCCACCAAGATACTGAATCTTGACTTTGTTTGTTTTATTGTTTTTGTTTTTGCTTTTTTTTTTAATACTCTTGCTTTCTTGTGTATCAACCAAAGTGCTAAGATTTTGGATGGGTTTTATGGCTGACTGAACTCACTGACAAATATTTCCCTACTCCCTATACAGCATCTAAGACTTCTAGTTGAAGTCTTTGCTCAGCATAAGACAATCTGATTTATCACATAACCCATAAGAGCTGCAGCCTGAGCAGCTGACATCTTACCAAGTCATATTTTCTAAAATATTGAAAATAGTTCCAGGTTCCCCATAACTCAAGTTTTCCCTTCAGAGATGTTTGAGGGAGCTGTCTAACACAAGCAAGGCAGTGTTTAAGAGGGAGAGCCTGCTTCAGGATGGAAAAAGAGACCAGTGTTAACCCCTCTGTCTCGTTCAGTCTCTCCCATCCCTTTCCACCTTAACCCAACAGGGAGGGCAACGAAAGGGGTGTGGGGGAGGATGCCAACCATCAGTTTGCTGCTGGACGATGCTGCCATCTGCTGGCAGAAACTGGAATTTCACTACACAATTATGCCAGTCTTTCGGTTGATCAACCACAACGATAAAATGTTAAATACCCATAAATTTTCTTTAAATTGCCTCCAACGCAGTCGTAGTGCTATCAGACTTGGGGGTTATAACCTGTGCCCCATGTCAAGTCTGGGAACCATCTTCACTAAGTCAATTCAAAGAGTCAAACTCAAAGCAGAAATCGGAAAAAGGAGATTACTCAATATGGCTACATTGGGGAGAAGAGGGATCTAGCAGAGACCACGAGTCTGTCCTCTGGGTCCAGAAGTGAGGGTTTATCTGGCTTACTGGTCACACTCATCGTTGGAAAAGTGCAGGCAAGAGCCTGAAGGCAAAAACTGAAGCAGAGCCCACGGAGGAGCACTGCTCACTGCCTTGTCACCCTCCCACCCCACCCTACCCCCCTCCCCTGCTTGTTCGCTTAGTTTTCTTATACAACCCAGAATGGATGTGGGAGTCTCTCTGTGTGCTGTGATTACCATTAATGAATAAAGGAACTGCCTTGGCCTGTTGATAGGGCAGAACTTAGGTAGGCCGGGAAGACAGAACTGAATGCTGGGAGGAAGAAGGCAGAGTCGGAGAGACATTATAGGGCGGGGCCACCAGAGTCAGACATGCTGAAATTTTCCCGGTAAACCACTGCCACATGGCGATACACAGATTAATGGAGATGGGTTAAATTAAGATGTAAGAGTTAGCCAATAAGAAGTTAGAGCTAATGGGCCAAGCAGTCATTTAAATAATATAGTTTCTGTGTGGTTATTTTGGGGCTAAGTGACTGGGAACAAACCAGCGGCCTTCCTGTTACACAGGACCACCTGCTTAGACGTGACCCTGTCCGCAGTGAGCTAGGCCCTCGTACCTCAATTAACAATCAAGAAAATACTCCACACACAGGCCTACAGACAAATCTGACAGCTGCTGCAGGTCATCAGCTGAGGTTGCCTCTTACCGGGTGTATCAAGTTGGCAAGTACGATTGACCAGCACATTGTTTGCCAAGTGCTTACCTTTTGAAATCCACTGTACAGGGCCTGGACAAGGAGAGCAGCTTCCATGGTCTGCTCACTTTTAGCCCGTTCACAGCCGGCAGTCATTGCCAGTGGCTTCTAATGTTCTCTGGGTGAAATGTGAACAGCTTCCTCGGGGCCACGAGGAATCTAAAACTGGCCACCCAATTTCCAGCAGGTCTGACTTTACCCATGTGCATCCAGAGCTGCTTTCTAAGTGCCTGTAGGTGAGACACTCCCCATATCCTGACTGCTGGGAGCCCGTGTGTTTTGAATTAGGAACGCTCCCCCGCCATAGGCTCATATATTTGAATGCTTGGTCATTAGAAGATAGCACTACTTGAAAGGAATTAGCCGTGTGGCCTTAGAAACAAGTGTGGGCTTGTGGGAGGAAGTGTGTCACTGGGGGTGGGCTTTAAGGTTTCAGAAGTTCAGGTGAGACCCGGTGCCTCTCTCTCTTCCGGCTGCCATGCTATCACGTCTGCCTGCTTACTGCCATACTCCCTGCTGTGGGGATAATGGACTAAGCTTCTGAAACTGGAAGCAAGCCCCAATGAAATGCCTTACTTTATGAGTTGCCGTGGTCATGGTGTCTCTTCACAGCAATAGGACAGTGACTAAGACAGAGATGACACCCCCACCAAATTCACACATGCAGCATCTTCAGATACTAGTTTCCTCCCAAGGCTCCTAAAGTCAGAGACACTTATGTGATAAGCCACATTATCTTGAGCTTCAAAACTTAACATTTGGAAATGCGATTTCTGTAGACATATTTCATGAGATAGTCATCCTGGATTGGAGGGAGACCTAAATTCCATGACCAGTGAGTGTCCTTAGGGGAGGGAGGACAGACACAGAAGTAAAGACCCTCAAGGAAGGAGGGCATGTCAAGATAGAGGCAGAAATTAGAATGATGTAGCCACCAGCCAAGGAATGTGAAGGACAGCCAGCAGTCACCAGAAATGAGGAAGACCCAGTGTCCGTTCTCACTGCAGCCCTGGGAGGGACAGGGTGATGTCTTGACTTCTGATATCCAGAGCTACAGAAGAATAGAATTTTTTTTTCCTTTTAAGTTACTTAGCTTGCAGTAATCTGGTGGAATTGCAAAGTGGTATCATTAGCCTGGAAATCAGTGTGGCGTTCCATCCAGCTACCTTCAGATTCATGAGCAAACATCCATGGAGCGGGATGCTGAGTCCTTTGCTTGGCCGTGTTCACTGCTGCTCTACTCACAATAAGAAACAGAAACAACCTGGATATCCTTCAACTGATGATGAAAATGTGCTGTAGGTCCGCTGTGGAATGCTGCTGAGCTGTAAAGAAAAATGACCTCAGGAACTCTGAAGATGAATGGCTAGAACTAGAGAAAAGCATATTGAGATAACCCAGACGCAGAAAGACACAAATGTGTTCTCTCGTTTGAGCCTCCTAGCTCCAAATCTTTAGATGTTAGTACAAATCTTGGAGCAACTACAGAAACCAGGAAAGGAAAGGGGGGGGGGAGCTTTGTAGGAGTAAAACAGTAGGGGGCAATAGAGGAGAACGGGATAGAAGTGATAGTGGAAGTGGAGAAAATGGGGGGGATCTAATTAGAAAGTGATACGAGATAAATACAGAAGGAGAGGGGAGGATAATTTTTTTTTTCCCAGGATGCCTGGAAAAAGTCATATTTAATCGTATGATTGACATCTACTTAAAGACATCCCCAGTTTATTTCTAACGTATTTCAAAGTTACGGACACCAGCACCTTTCACCAAAAACAATTCACAGTGCACACAATTAATAAAAAGTAGCATTTATTTCTATTTTTACACAGAAAAATGTTTAAATCTTTAGGCTACGATTGGAAGAGTTTTCACAGATACCAGCAAACTTATTTGGGGACATGGCAAGGACATGGAACGGCGATCACACGCATCAGCTCACAGGAGCAATGACTACCTGCAGAAGACCAAGAGAGCCCAAGGCCACCGACATTCTCTCGTGGCCTAAAAGACACTGTAAGCAGTTAAAGCCTCGGCAGTGTAGCCGCTGGAAAGTGTACTCGGGTTAATAATCACACACTCATGCAAACAACCCTAATTAAATGCATCAGAGAGTTTTTAAAAAGTTGAAGGAGAAGTTACTAGAAAGGAGATGGATTTTTTTTAAAAAGGACAATGTGGGGAGGAGAATATGATCAAGATATACTATTTATATAATTGTGAATGACTAATACTACCAAAAGAAGAACCCTTAGCATTCTTTTTCCCACCACCTAGAACATGAACAAAAAGCACCACTCCCATGGTTGCTGTGGTGCCATATCTCAAATGCATCCAGGACTCAGCATGGACTGGGGCCAGGCTTTGAGGGAGATTTAGGCTTCTACAAGTTGCTGCAAAAATGACAAACTACCATAAAGGGCAGACAGGGGCATTTTGGCTTCCAGATCCCAAGTTGACCTGGGATTATTCAGCTCCATCTCCAGACCACACTCCATCAGCAATTCATAAGTAATGGTCAAGCCTTCACCCTGGAGTGGGGCAAGAAGCTGAGGCTGGAGAGTGAAGGGGATGTTCCAGGGATACTTGAAGTTCGGCTGCAGGATGCTCTTTACCTAGAAGAAGAACTCTCAGGTTGGAAAGACCAGGCTCTAACACCAGGGTGAAAAACCTTCTGTCCTAACAGCCAGGAGCCACACAGAATAATGAACTAAGAAAGAACTGAAGCCAGGGTGCATTGGTTCCTCAGCTATATCACGGTAATAATAAAACCTATGCTGCACAGGGATGGCATCTCTATGTGTATCTCTGTGTGGTGTGTGTGTGTGTGTACACCCATGCACATGTTTGCATATGTCTAGACACACATTTGTATTTACAGATAAACATATGGGGGGAGAAAGGACAACTTACAAATGGCAACTGTAAACAAAGAAGGCTGTAGCTGAATTTCATCCCCTGAGTTCCTACAGAGTTGCCTTCCTAGGTGGCTAATTCAGACCCAGTGGGCCTTGCTTCTGAGGCTGCCATAAAAACAGACATGCTCCTGACAGGATCAAGCCCCACCTGCCTGCTTCCCAGAGGGAGAAGGCAACTAGGAGGTTCCCAACTATTCTCCTTGTGGAAAATGCATGGCTTTCTTCTAAAATACTCTTTCCAGTCCTCCTTTGTCTCCCTCCCTAAATGTTGGTTCATAGGGGCTTCCTACCAGCTCTCGTTGATGGAGGAGGAGACTCTTCTCCATAGACTGGGCCAGCAGATTGAGTTGGGTTTCGTTCAGCACTGGGAGAAAAGACACATGAGGAAACAGGGTGACAGACTCAACTTTTTCCTCTCACCATGAACGAGGACAGCCAATGAGAGAAGAACTCTAGGACATAGTGTTATGCCCCATTGGTCTCAAAGGTCAAGCTCACTGCCCTAGAAAGTTCTCCTGCCCTTGAGAGGAGCACAGAATCCAAAGGGACATGACACAGAGTCTGAAAATCTAAGGTCTGAGGCAGGAATCATCTTCCACCAAGAATGTGCCAGAAGCTTGGTGACTGCTCACTTTCTACACCTCAGACTCTATCTACGGTCCATGGACTGTTACCATTCTGGCCTTGCTGACCTTAGAGAGAAGGGTGATGTGAGAATGACCATGATAACTCAAGAGCTTTGGGGAGGCGGCATCTGAAACAGCCCTGTGAGAACCAACACAAGGACTTTCCCAGACTCCCCTCGAATCATTCTTACCCATCAGGGCTTGAAGGAGATAAAGAAGAAGGTTCCTGAGGTCAATCCATGGGGGTATGGAGTCCTGTCGCAGCTGATCTAGGATCGCACCACCTGGGCCATCCATATGCCCCAACTGATCCAGTTCCAGCTAGAGGAGACAGATGTTCTGTTAATAACAGCATTCCCAGTGCTGGAGACTGGATGGCTTTATATATGCTGAATGAGTCCTCTGCCATGAAGCTACAACCTGGTTCTTTTTCCCTTCTTTTTTCTCTTTTGTGTGACAGGGTCTCAGGCTGTTGCCCAAGCCAGATTTGAACTAGCCATGTAGCCCAGAAGGTCTTAAACTAGCAAACCTCCCGCAAGTACCTTCAGTTTCCCATATCTGGATCAAATCGTTGTTGATTTGATCCAGATATACCTATGTCCAGAGGAGTTAAGAAAGGTATGGGCTGGGGTTCTTCCTCTCCCTGGACGATCCTGAGCAGAATTCAGGGGCCACACTTGAGCCCTCGTTGTTATGCATGGAGTCAGAATCCCCTATCTTTGACATCTTTCTCAGTCTCCTGATTATCACGTACATTCTTTCTCCCCATGTATGTTGGAATCCTCATCACCCAACTCACCCTTGCAGGTTAGATCATCTCTAGGCAGCTATGGGACTCTTACCATGCTAAGCAGGTCATTCAGATTCTCCCTGTTACTAAGCATGCTCTGAAGGTTAGAGAACACAATTTCTTGAACATCCTTTGGAAGCATGGCCAGTTCCTGTGTTATCTGGGAAACCTCATTTTGTAGGCGCTTGAAATCTGCACAAATTGACAGCAACTTGAAAAAACCAATCAGAAAGTGAGAGCAATTCTTCAATTAAACACCTGTGGGATGGTAAGCCCTTGCCCTTCAGGACCATTTCTGGTGGCTAAAAGCATCTCCATTGATAGCCTGCTTGAGCCCCAGTGAGGCAACTCTCAGGAAGCTAGAAAGCGCTAGAACACTGGCAGCTTCCGCACTCTGGAAGGAGGGGACACAGCACTGAGAGGGGAGATGGAAATCCTGACAACTGCTTATCACAGTGGGAGAGAAGTGACCACGTAGGCGTGCATTTCTGGGAGATGTCGGGAAGGAAATGTACTGTAGACCCAAGAGATGACAGTGCTCAGTGTTTCAGGATCAGGTGGCAATGTGACCGATGGAGACATGGTGAGGAGTCAAGGGGTTTGTGTTCACCGGGCACCTGGCATGTAAGAGCTACACTAATTCATAAGTATCCCCACTGTCTATGAAGAATTAGCCCAGCACTGCATTTCAGGATGCTCTGGTTCCACAAAGCGTCCTCTGGGTGATCTGTAGCGGAAGCTGCAAAGACACGGGTGCTTACATCCCAGTATTTCACATTGCATGCTGGAGGAATGCTGCTTCCTCCTAAGTCCTCGCTGTACTCTAGTGCACACAGTTGCACATGTGTGAGTTGAACTAACTACAAATGTGACAGTAGACCTCGGTTTCCTGAATCCCAAAGAAAGTTCTCATTTGACTTCCAAGCCAATGGTTACCTGCCAGACACCCAGGTATCCTCTAAAAAGAAAATGGGGGGGGGGAGGAAGGAAGGAAGGAAGGAATGAAGGAAGGAAGGAAGGAAGGAAGGAAGGAAGGAAGGAAACCACTCACCTTGATGGTAAGGTTCTTCTATCCTTCCTAGAAAGAGAAGAAAAGTTATCACCTCTCTTCATCCTCACTGTGTCTCTCTCCTGCCATCTCCTCCTGCCCCATTCCCAGTCTATGCTTTCTCCACACCGGCCTTCCATGATCTTTCCCATCCCACAGGGCTAGGGCTGACCACAGGAGCATCACTCAGATCTCCACAACAACTCCACCAGACACACACTCACCAATTGGAGAGATGTAATTGATCTTCCAGTCTAGAAAGAGAAAATATATTGTTCCACCCAAGAATTAGTATTTGACTTTACTTCCCCTGTATCCCTGACATTTCTCTATCTTCCACCCCCAAAATTTGTGCAAGAAAAAAAAAAAACCAGAGCTCAAGACCTATGGCAAAGTCAATCAGAAGGGTTTTTGTTGTTCAGTTGTCAGCAGGAGGGAGCAGGTTCCACTCTCATTCCCCCAGGACCCTTCACTCACCTAGCTGTCTTAGAGATGATGGCCCTGGAAAAATAAAGTGAAGGGATCACTCACCACGACTCACTCACCCCACCCCTCACCATACCTCGGACCTTCTCAGCTCCTTCATCCACCCCTGCTTTTCACCTTGCAATTCTACTTTTATGAAAAATTCCGTATGATAAATCCATCCCTAGAAGATCCTGTCCAAAAAAAGACATACCTATCACAGTGCTTGCAGAATAGTATATCTCATCCTTGTCTGAGGGAGCAGAACTTCTTAGCATCCTAGGTACCATACCTAGAAAGTTTTTCTTCTTAGCATTGGCAAAAAGGAGAATGGCTAATGGGAGAGAGACTCGGTTAGGAGAGATGCAGTTGCACCTGCTAGAGTAGTTCCCACACCCCATTTAGGGACCCTCAGGCCAAACCCCAGGGATGCTGTCAACCTAAACACTAGCCTCTTGACCTTTAATTGGTACCTTTGACAGTTATCCTGAAATTTTTATTTTATTGTATTGTATTATGTTTGTTTATGGTGTGTGCATGCATGCCACAGAGCACATGCAGAGGTCAGAGGACAACTCTGGGAGTCAGTTATCTCCTTCCAACACCTGGGACCTGGAGGTGGAACTCAAGGCATCAGGCCTGGCAACAGACACCTTTGCCAGCCGATCCAGCTCACCAGCCTGAATCCTGCATTTCAAATAAGCATCGTCCCCTGTGACATTCAAGAATTACCCATGAGGGCTGGAGAGCAAGATCAACCATTAAGAGTCACTACTGCTCTTGCAAAGGACCTCAACACAAGGCAGAGCCCTCTTCTGGCCTCCTTGGGACATTGCATGCACATTGTACACAAATGCAGGCAAAACACAATACTCACAAAAGAGAAATAAACAAATACTCCATGAGGTAAAGCAGACTGGCTTCCTCCTGCCCTGTCATGTAGGCTTCTTGTTAGCCTTCGGTCGGTTACTACCTGGCCCTTCCTTATCCACTCTTAGTCTGGCAATCTTGCATTGTTCTACATTATATTCATGGAGTTTTGCTGAGGTCCAAAACTTGCCTAACAACAAAGTCAAGCATTTGACACATATAATGAGCCTGGGGAAGAAAATGTCAACATTTAATATGTGAGCTAAAGGAAGTTGAACAAAAAGCCGACTTCGAAGAGTGTCTGCAAATCAGATTTTGAGCACTAGGGGGCGAGCAGGGCATCTTCTTTACACAATCAGGCATAACAGAGAAGGGACCAACTGGGACCATGGGCTAACTGGCAAGCACAAATTTAGTCCTCTTAACAGACCAAGACGACTTAATAATTGACATATCACTGGCCATCAGCTTCATAGAAAACTGGCCTTCTCCTGTGTAAGTGGGGATGAGATTTTCCCCCAAAGCTGAGTTGAAGACAAGAGGTAAGGGACCAGCAATGCATCTGGCCCCAACCTGTCCTCAGTCTCTCAGTTCACCAAGCTCTTTCCTAACCTGACAACATTCTCTGTACCTCCAGAATACCTCACCCCAAATTCCCCTCCCATCATCCCCTCCTCTCACACACGTCCCCCTTTAGTCAGCTCCTCTAAGTGTCCTCTACAGGGGACATCACTTCTCTCCTTCCGTGCGCACCTCAGCCTTTGCAGTTTATCCTCTGTGGAACTCCCCTGGATTCAGCCTCCACAAACATGGCTTTGGTTTTCTGGGTGCAACATCTGATCTATCAGATCCGGTTTTTGTTTATTTGCTGTTAATGTTTTTTAGTAACGGGTTCATTATCTTTCCCTCTGTAAATAAAAGCTCTTTTCATTTAGCATGATCTGTCAGAGCAAGAAATGCCATCTCCGCCAGGCATTTCAAAGGCATCTCTGACCTTGTACCCAATACCTGCCCTATAACTCAGTCCAGGTTCCTGGTAGAGTGTGCACAATCTTTCTCTAGAAGCCATCATACACTAACTCTACCATACTGTACCCACTCCCACCCTATATCTCAGTCAAGAATGCTGATAGAGTGTGGAAAATACTTCTGTAGAAGTCATCATCCACTAACTTTTATAATGTACTCATGCCCCACCCTGTGACTCAGTCAAGGGTGGTGATAGAGTGTAGATAATCTTTCCTTAGTAGCCACCATACACTAATTATACTATTGTGTAAATGCTTCCTTGTCTATTGCTGCCGACTAGAGGATTGACTGTAGTTCTTTCTCTTGACCAGAATTTACAAGTAGACAGAGAGAGAGAGAGAGAGAGAGAGAGAGAGAGAGAGAGAGAGATCCATATGTGGGTATGTGCGCACACGTGCATATAGGTATGCATGCATATGCATGAACGACATCCCCCCTTTTCTGAGGAGCTGCCCTTCGCACTGAGGAGGAACTTGGAGCTCTGAGACCTACTCATGTCTGACCCTCAAATAAAACACAGATCCATGCCTAACACAGACACTTCTGCCCCACTGCAGAGTCTGAACCCAAGGGGTGTGTGTGTGTGTGTGTGTGTGTGTGTGTGTGTGTGTGTGTGTGTATTTGGAGGATTGTACATTTATTTCAAGGCCATGGGGAAACTCCTGTGCCCTGCTGTTCAGGCATTCTGCCTACAGTTTCATATTATTTTATGTTCCATTATTTTATGGAGCATTAATGGGCTTTAAGGGTCACCTGGTGGGCCTGTGGCTCCCTAATGAGCTTGTGAGTTAGCAGGACATTGACTGACTAGAGATGAGTGACTAGAAATGGCTGGAATGGGGCCTGGGCTTCATCCAGCTAAAGACACCTCCTTTTGAGTACCCCAAGTTAGATCCCTTCCCATGAGGAAGGCTATCGTTGCATCTACAGCTAGCAGTAGGTGAGCTTGGTCATGCTTAGAGGCGGATAAGATGGTGGAACATTTTGCTCGAACAGTGAGGAGTGTTCCTCTGGTTTATAGTCAAGAGAAAAGGAGATTCAATTCTTTGGACACCATACCCCATTTGGCCCCCAGGTCTGCTCACCGCAAGTGTCATTCTCAATGACCAGTCTTTTCTTCTTGTAGGCCACCACTGTACCCTTTTGGATAGGCACTGAATCCATTGTCTTCCTTTCCCACTGTCCCTGGGCTTGGCCCTGGAGAGACAAAACATTTCTAGAGGTTTATAGCACTGTGTCTCATATAACAAGACAAAGAGACTTGAATGAGGGAAAGGGACTTGAAAGGAGGGCAGATGATGAGTGTGAGGAAGGGCAGAGAAGGCAGTGTGAGAGTCGTCAGAATGCAGTCTACACATCTATGAAATTACCAAAAATAAGATGAAGTAAAATACTTAGGGAATACAAATATAAATACAGCAGGGAGAAAAGAGAAAAACAGTGTTCCATATTTAAGCTACTAAATGAATTTTATGTTAATTTTTAAATAATGCTTGGTTGTGGTGAGCAGATTGTGTAAAGGTATTGAGATCTTGTCCCTTCAAACATTTCTCATCAAAGCCAGGCATGGCGGATAAACCTATAATCCCATAGGATTTGGAAAGTGGAAAGATCTGGTTGGTAGTGGCACATGACCTTAATCCCAGCACTCCAAAGGCAGAGGCAGGAGGATCTCTGTGATTTACAGGCCAGCCTGGTCTACAGTGTGAGTTCCAGAACAGTCAGGACTGTTTCACAGAGAAACCGTGGCTTAAAAGGCAAAAACAAACAAAAATATGTAAATAAATAAATAAATACAAAACTTAGAAGTGGAAACAGGAGGACCAGGAGTTCAGGGTCAGCTTCAGCTCCATAGCCCGTTTGAAGACAGTCTAGGCTATAGAAAACCTTATCTCAAAAAATAATTGTTATCAAATGTTTATAAAATGTGGATTAATAGCTACAGTTTAATAAAGGTTTTCCCATGTTTTCCTGCCATGAAACTCACTGTGCAAATAATACAGAATCCTCATATTTCTATTTCTGCAGCAAACTATCATTTAGTCAATACAAAACATGGCACCAAATAATTATGTCCAGTTTAGAATTTATCAATATTTGCTAATCCTATATATTAAAACATTATCAATGAGGACATTAGAATGCAATCTAACCAACTGAGCTAACTGACTGGCCCTGCCCTTCACTGACCAAGGGAGAGCCAGCCCACCCTCACCATAGAGCTGACCCTGCCCCCCAACTGGCCTGGCCTCTCATAGAATAGCTGCTCTTCCCATTTGGGAAAGCTGGTCCCACCCCTCACCATGAGTGTGGGAGAGCTGGCTTCACTCCTCACCTGAGGGGGCTGGTCCCAACAGACCTTACTGACCAACTCAGCTCTTATTCAGGCCCACATCCAAAGCTTTGAGTTGCCACTCCCCAATAGCTATCACACCTATGACTTGCTGGAGCTGGGGAAGGGGCTGGTCCTTCAGAACCATAGCCACAGGAACTCCAAGACTCTGTGCAATAGCAGGATATCCAGAAGGACTTCAGTGAGGGTCCAGTGTTGATGGTCTACCAGAAACCAGAGGCCTTGAACCTGACCAGCAACACACTACACAATGAACACTTGCAAGGAAAGCTGTGTGGGCAACAGTGTTTACTACATGACGCACCAAAGCTCCCACTGCCACTGAGATGCACGAAGAGGTGATAGAGAGGCAGAAAAGATGGAAGAGCAAAGTGGTTTTATTTTTATTATTTCTTTTGGTTTGGGATTTTATTTGTTTAATTAATGCTTTTACTTGTGATTTTCATTTTTTTTATTTTTATTATTTGTTTTTATGTTTTCTTTTGGGGGAAATGCTGCAAGGATGAAGGGCAGATCCGGAGGAACTGGAAATGAATAGGATTGGAGTCTACGATGTGAAATTCTCAAAGATCAATAAAAAGTCATGTTTAAAACAAGAGTGCAATCTAAGATCTGGAGTCAGCATATACTACATACCAGCAGGGAGAATAATGGCCCCCACCCTCTGAGCCCTAGAAACTGCTGCCCAGAGCCCTTGAGAGGCCAGGCTGCCCTGGCTGCACTCGCTGTTTTCTTCCCATCCCTATCCCGTACCGTGACAACCTGGGCGATGGCTGCATCTACTGTCGTGCCGGCACTGGTAATGTTTTCCTTCATTTCACACTTTGTCACTTCAAATACCTCTGTCACCACATACAGGCTGTACCTTCCCATCCGGTAATCTTTCACAAATGATGGCTCCTTATCCAGAAGTTTCCTGAAGGTGTAAAATGAGAATGAAAAGATCCAAATGGCAAATTTCACAGAAACAGAGACCAAATCATGACAGAGAAAAGCAAAACAAAACAAAAAAAAACAGAAAATATGAGCCAGCCTCTAAGCACTAAAGAGATTGACTCAGCTTCAGGCTGGGGATGTGGCTCAGTCTATGAAGTGCTCACCATGAACACTGAGGACATGAACTCAGAGCCCCAGAAGACACATTAAAGCCCCATGTGGTTTACACTTGACTATATGCTATATGCACTTAAAATTGGCTGAGACAGTAGACAGTAAATATTCTTGCCATAACAGTAACAGTTACTGAGATGGCAGGATGGCTCAGCAGGTAGAGCTGGTTGTTGGCATAAGTTTGGTTTCCAGACACACACAGCAAAGGAAGAAACCTGATTGCTGCAAGTGTTCCTCTGACTTCCATATTTTAGCCATGGCATAAGGGTGCACATGCGCGCACACACACACACAGTGCAAAAATAAATGTAATAAAGAAAAAATTTAAATAATGGCTACCAGATGGAAGGATGATATGCTACTGACTTATACATACATGCTTATATCACATCAAAATTCTGCACATGAAACAAGCATTTCTACTTCAAAATCCTACCTCAAAAGAGATGTTATATAAGTCAACTAAGTTCCTAATCACTGTGGTGTTCAAGTGATTGTTACAGTCTTCCTCACCTTTTAATCAATATTCTAAACACTTACTTCTATGATTCTCTCCTCATTACATGCCCATCATCTGGACAATTAACAGAAACTTTCACTAGATCAGAACCTTTGTATGTCTGTCTTGTTTTTCTGTCCCCGTAACATTAATAGACCAGTAACAGGTGATTCTGTATTAATGAGTATTATTGGGGTACTATAAGGCATTATTTCAATGACTTGTAGAACAATTAAGTAGAAAATGTGAGTTGTCATAAAACCTGCTCGATGCCTCTTTGCCTACAACATCACATCTGATGTGTAATTTCCCTCTGTATGCTGTGAATACTATTGGTTAATAAAGAAACTGGCGTGGCCTGATAGGGTAGAGAAGAGCCAGGCAGAGAAAACTAAACTGAATGCTGGGATAAAGAATGTAGATTTGGAGAAGTCGTGGAACCGCCACTGGAGACAAACATGCTGGAAACTTGCCCGTAGGCCACAAGCCTCGTGATAAAATATAAAACAATGGAAATGGGTTAATTATAGATGTAAGAGCTAGCTAACAATATGCTTAAGCTATTGGCCAAACATTATTGCAAATAATATAGTTTCTGTATGATTATTTCGGGAGTCTGGGCAGCCGGGAACACACAAGAGGCCTCCCTACATCACACTTCCGAAATCTTTGCTGAATTATCATTTCACCTGTTTTGAAGACTTTCCAGTTTTGAATTTGGGATGCCAATACACTGAACCTCGATGTCATATCCATAGGACTGCACATACTCTGTGTTCACATTTCCTTCTGCGATGGCGTTGACACCCACGTTAGCCTTCAGTTTCTGGTATACAATGTGTTTAAGGGGGATGGTATCTAACACTTCAGGCTCTAAAGAGGAGAGGGAACGGAAGTTTAGCCAAGAACCACTGTGGAGCAGCTAATCTGGCAAATAAGAAATAGAAGGTCAGTTCTCCTCCTAAATTAATACTTAGTCAAGAAGCTAGCTAACAATTACATATATAATAAATATGTAATAATAATTAATATTTGAATATAAATTACTACAAAGGGCAAATTCCAGAACCAATGCAAGCATAGTTTTAATTCTAAAAAAGAAAAGCAGCATTTGCGCAGTGTCTAGATGTCCCCTGGGGTCATCCTTCCAAATACAGAATCCAGCTGTGGGGCCTCTTGCTGGAAAAGAAAAATTCCTGTGACTTACAGACAGACTGACCTCAGTCTGGATCCTAATTCTACCGGTTTGAACTGTGTGGTTTTGAAAAGTTGTTTTAAGAACCTCTGCTTTTTTGTAACATGGTTTTCATATCTCCATCTAAAGAGGCTTTTGTAAGTATTATATGACCAAATGCAAGGAAGAGTCCAGAAAATGAGCAGATTCCCAAAGGACCTTCCTTGTCCTTTGCCTTGAAGCAGGATGGCTCCTTAGCTACCTGTCTGTGCACCTCATGGGTTCTGGAAAGTTGTGCCACTGAAAATGCTGATTTTTACACTTCCCTGATCCTTGGTTAACAATACCTGGGACTGGAAGATTTGGCTCTAAGATCTGCAGGAGGGAATATTCTACTGGAGTATCTTCAGATTTCCAGAACAGGGACTGAGGAGTCTTCAGCAGTATCTCAAAATGGCGGAACTTCCTTGCATCTGACCGACATTTAACAGGACGCAGATCTTTTCCTTTGAGCCTTTTGACCACATCCTTGCAGATCCAGTCAAATGAGTGGGACATGTTGCTGGTACCAGACAGAAAGAAGTGCACGGTTTAGTTGAGAAGAGGAAGAGTGTAGTTGGCTCTCAGTGATTCCTGGTATTTTTCCTAAACCACCAAAGTGAGAGCCCACACATCAGTACACAGCAGAGATATATGCATTCAAGTTATCCTTGAACTATTCCAAATACTCAAAATACAGACTCAGGCTAAAAGCCCATCAAAAGATGAATGGAAGCAGAGGGTGAAGGGATGGCTCATAGGCTAACAGCACTGTCTATTCTTTTAGAGGGCACAGGTTCAAATCCTAGCACTTACATGGAGGTTCACATATAACAGTTATAATATCTGTAACTCCAGTTCTAGGGCATCCTATGCCTTGCTCTAACCTCCTCAGACACCAAGCACACACGTAGTGTACATGTATGCAGGCAAACCATCCATATGCATAAAAATAAATAATTTTTAAAAAGAAGAATGGAAAAAGAAAATTGATATATATGCATGGTTAAGGTCTATTCAGCCATAAGCAGTAAAATTATACCACTTACTGATAGAACTCCGGACCGTCATGCCAGATGACATAGACTAAGCACAGAGATACAGATATTGCAGGCTTCTCTCACATAGACATACTACATTTTATGTATATAAGTTTACATAAATATGTATATAAGTATATACAATATGTGTATATGTACATAAATATACACATAGATACACATTAAATATGTATGTATAAAGTATGAAATCACAAAGGAACAATTTTCAGGGAGATGGGGGCTGTGGAGGTAGGTCAGGAGAACTAGAAAACATAGTGGGCTGAACATGATAAAAGTGTATACTGTGTGAGGAAGCCATAAAGAAGCCCATTATTCCATGCTAATTTAAAGTAACAATAAATAAAAAAGAAATAAGAGTGCCATGAGTTGGATAGACATTTCTCTCAATAAGAAATGCAGTGAGTTCCTTCCCCAGTGGATTAGAATCCTTCCCTGGCATGAATAAGGACCTGAGTTCAAGACCCAGCACCACCAAAGAGAAATGGAATTAGCCAATAAGACAACAAAAACACAATTTCACCACTTATCATAAAAACGTGAACCAACATCACAATGAGGTATTAGATCTGTCAGGGTGCTGTTACCACAAAGTATAGAAGAAATAGCTGTCAGTATTAATGCTTAAAAATGGAACCCTGTACACTGTGGGAAGGCAAAGTGTTATGTCCTTGAAAGAAATAAACAAGATTTCTCAAAAACTTAATAGAATTGAAAACTGGGAGGCAGAGGCAGGCAGATACCTATGAGTTCTAGGACAGCCGGGTTTACAGAGCAAGTTTCAGGACAGCCAGGACTACACAGAGAAACACAGTCTCAGGGGGGGGAAATAGAATTGAAAACAACGAAATAGCACACTCATGTGTCTTACAGCACTACTCACAGAACCAAAATGCAGAAACAATCTAAATGTCCTTCAATGTGATAGGGAAATGTTACTTCTCACTGTGAACTGTTTCCACCTTCAAGGGAAAGAAGGTTTACAAAATGCAATAATTTGATAAATCTTAAGGATGTTGAAGTATATGTCATTCAGGCGTTAAATACACATGGATCCAATTACATGTATTATCTCAAATTCTCCAAGACCTGGAGAATGCAAGGATGCTCTCTACTGGAGTAGACAGGAAGGGACATTGTTAGTCAATCAGTTTAAAGTTTCATTTGTTCATGATGAAGTCTGCAGATCTGCTAGCAAAGTTTGAAACAATGTATTTTTACAGATTTTTAAACCCTGTTTAAGGCAGAGCTCATATTATGTATTTTACCACAACATTAAATATTATAGAAGTTATTGCCCATGCATACAATCATAAATCTACTTGGCTGAGTTGCATGAAGTTTAATTGATCTTAATAATAAAAACTCAGAGTCAGCTATCAGAGGGTGAAAGCTTGAGAATCAGAGAAGCAGAGCGGCCAGCCATTGGAGTTCTTACCTCTACCAATTTTCAAACCTAAGGAGCAATCCTGTCACTTCGAATTCTCAGACTGAATCCTCAGACTGCAGCTGTCTCTACAAATACTCAGACTGCCTTGAGCTTCTGTCTCCTCCTGCCTTATATTCCTCTCTCCGCCCAGCCACATCATTCCTGCCTCCACCTCCCTAGTACTGGGATTAAAGGCGTGGAATCTCAAGTGCTGGGATCACCTTTGTGTAAGCTCTGTTTTTCTTTTAAACAGATACTTTTTTTTTTTTTTTTTTTGCCCAAGATGGCTTTAAGCCATCTGTTTGCCTCTGTGTCCCAAGTACTGGGATTAATGGTGTATGCCACCACTGCCTGGCCTCTATGGCTAACTAATGGCTTAGCTCTGTACTCTGATCTTCAGGTAAGCTTTATTTGGTAAAGCCTAAAGAGAATATTACCACATAGCTGGGCATTTCTAGGCTAATAATCAAAATCTGCAGATATTCAAGTGTCTTTGCATATGACCACACACTCTTCCCACATCACTTAAACAGTTTCTAGAATACTTAAAATGATACTATACCAGAAGCAGTTCAAAGTCACTGTGAAAAATGTCTGACATAAACAACTTAATGAAGAAGAGATTTATTTTGACACGCAGTTTCAGAAGGCTCGGTTCACAGACGCTTTAGCCCTGTGCATTTTGACTAAACATCATAGTGATAGGAGAACATGGAAGAGGTAATGAGTGACTTCTTTGCAAGCAAGAGGCAGAGAGACATACAAGGAGGGGAGATGTAGTACCAAGTTCATATCCCCCATGTCATATTTCATCTAGCTACTGACCTCATATTAAAATTCTCCAGGACACCCGAGATAGTGACAGTAGCAGGAACCCAAGCATTCAACATAACTTGGGGGAGAAGGGACAGTTCACATTCGCAACGTGGCAGTAGACTAACCACACACACAGTTTTTGCAGAATGCAAAAAAAAAAAAAAGTAGGAACATATTCTATTCAGGTGCAAGGCTTCTGAATATTTTCTTTTTAAAAAATTTAGTTTTCATTTTTATTTAATGTGTGTCTGTGTATGTGCCCCATATGGGTAGCCAAAGAGGTCAGAGGAGGGCACCAGATCCTCTAGAACCTCAGCCATCCATTGTGGGTGCTGGGAACTGAGCTGGGGTCCTTTGGAAGAGTATCAGATGCTTTTAACTGCAGAGCCATTTCTCCAGCCCCTAATACTTTTTTTTATTAAATTTGTATATGCATCTATGTGGTATATGTGCATGTACATATGAATGCATGCTTGGATGTGTAGAGGCCCAGGTTTGCATGGATGTAAGTACACATGGGTACATATGGAGGCCTGTGGGCCTCACTGAGTGACTCTGACAATCACTCTCCATCTTCTGTATTGAGGCAAAATTTCTTACTGACGCCGGAACTTCCCATTTCAGTTAGTATAGCTAGCCAGCTTTTCCCAGAGATCTCCTCTCTATACCTCCTGCATGCTGGGTGGGCACCCGGGTCACTGGGTTTTAAGTGGATTCTAGGAGTTAGAAGTCTGACCCTCACATTTGCATGTCAAGTGCTGTACCTACTGAGTCATCTCTCTAAGCTCTTTTCTAGATAATTCCAAAGCTGCAGGATCCACGAATCAGTAAGGCCAACTGTACTACCAATGAGAAAAAGAAAGCATAATTAAAGCAAAGAATAACTTAAGTAGATTTGTGACATGGAAAAATCCCTTGGCATAAAATTCCCAACAGCAAAGAATGTGACTTACTTCTGAGGCTATGCATAGCAATGTTCAAATAAGAGATATTCAAAGCTGACACTGGGATGATGACAAGATTGTTGCATAATCAAAAAAAATAATGATGGGTTTTATGTGGGTCATGAGAAAGACAGAGGAGTGCAGAGGACTTTGGGATTTCTAGACTGGGCAATGAAGGTGCTATCATTTCCCTGAGTGCCATTTCCAAGTGGAGAATGGAAATGAATTCATCTCTCAGCACCTTGATTTTGAGAGCCAGGGAAAGATGAAATCATACAATCTTAGAAACCAGCATGAGACAGTAGAAACTGTCACGGAGATAAAATGTTTGAGACATAGATGTGTTGGTGGAAATCAAAACCCTAGCTGTAGATAGTCATGAACATGCATATATCAACAGGTGTTGCAGCACTTTGTAAAAAAGATTAAATAAGAGTAATCTGCTTACATCACTTTCTTTGCAGAAAAGAACAAGATTCTCAGTGATTGGGAACTGCATTTTGAATGATATGACTATAAGAAAGCAAGAATTGTCACTGATCATGCAAAAGTTCTCATGTGCCCACTGTCAATTATGTCCCCAACATCAAACCTGACATAGATGGGTCAGAGACCAGCCTTTACCCTTGCATGCTCTCATGAGCTCCCTACTGACTCTCTTAGGGAGAACTTAAGGAAAGAATGCTTCCTTCTCTGCAGGTCACATTATATAGGACCAACCATCAACTCAGTTCAAAGCCAGCCTGAAGGACCCTCTGTAACCACACAGTCTTCTCTCCTTACTCCTTCGGCCCCAACAGCACCTACCAGGTTGAAGTAGGTTTTCGTCCTCTGGAGAGAGCTCAGCTGAATGTGACTCCTCTCAGTCCTTGGGCCTTCTGAGTCAAGAACAGCTTATACAAATTCCAGGACCAAAGCAATGTGATTCTCTTCCCTCTGTTTCCTTTGTTTTAACAGGTCTGAGTCAGTTTTCAATGTAATATTCTGGTCTGAACATGCAAGCACACACACAATCTCTTCTCTCTAGGAACTGAGTCTAAGTTTAGAACTTGTGTTCAAATCCACCATCCAAGATCCACCATCTCTGATCAGCACCAGAGAACATCTGAAGGTGTGCCTGCAGGCTCTCCTAGCTCAGCAAAAAGGGCATTCTTAGGAAATCTCTCTGCCTCTCCCTCTCTCCTTCTCCCTTTCCCTCTCTCCCTCCCTCCCTCCAAAGAAAACCAGCTGAACAAGTCTAGTTCAAGATTTTCAGAAAATGAGAATAGAACTATTCACCTCCTGCCTAGCTACTGGTCATTCAGCTTTTTATTACACCAATCACAGCAATACACCTTCACACAGTGTACAAACCTCCCACAACATTTTATATAAGATTTAGATGAACCTTAAACAGAACCCAAATATTTTTGAATGAGTCTTGATTGGATGCACATATTTTCTTAAAGCCAGTCCTTATAAACATTACCACAAGTAGGACAATAACAAGAGAACTATTGATTTAAATACATACTTCTTTGAACTTTGACCTTAGAAATTGTAATAACCTATAATCATGACACACAAATGCCATCTTTTACACACCTTATATAACTCTCTCAGAGCTTCCAGAACTTCTTAGGCTTCCTAGCTTCAGGTTTATCTTTTCCAATATGGCAATCTCTAGGCATCTCAAATTAGAACCAAGTCTTACCATGAAGAAATCTTTGTTATAGAAAGTATACTTATTCTTAAGTATTCTTAATATTTTCTTCTTACATGTTCCCTAGTACTTTTTATTAATATCATGAGAATAATAACTTTAACCCATAACAGATATTAATCCCCAGTGAATCAGCATCTCCACCCCCAGTCCAAGCAATACTTTAACCAAGAGTAGGAATATACATATAGTATAACAAAACTAACCTTAAATTTGTATCAATATACAAAAATCCTTTACACAAGAATAGAAACATATATACAGTATAATAAAATTAAGTTTAGGGGGCTGGAGAGATGGCTCAGAGGTTAAGAGCATTGCATGCTCTTCCAAAGGTCCTGAGTTCAATTCCCAGCAACCACATGGTGGCTCATAACCATCTGGCCTGCAGGCATACACACACAGACAGAATATTGTATACATAATAAATAAATAAATATTTTAAAAAAATTTAAAAAAATAAAATAAAATTAAGTTTATATAACTATACAAAATCCATGTCAATGCAAAATATCTGAGTTGAAGAGTTGTATTTTTATCCTATATTCCTATATTCTCCTAAAAATAATAAACATCCATAACCTACCAATTAACCAAACACCATTCATACCTCCCAAAATTCAAGGGAATGTGGATGCTGTTTTCTCCTAACTGCTTCCTTCTGTTTGTGGGCAAAGCATCTTTAGGGTCCCTGATAAAATTTTGAGGTAATGACCAAGTCCTGGGAAGACCAGTTGCAACTTTTATTGATAGATATCATCTGTCAAGTTTCAGGAGTCTCCCTTGATCACAGCTGGTCCATCTTAACCTGGAATGAATCCATAGCTGCTTGTTTCCTGTGGAAACAAAAGCCAAGCTGCTTCTCCCAAGCAATGCATCTTTTTATTTTTATTTATTTATTTATTTATTTATTGGTTGGTTGTTCAAGACAGGGTGTCTCTGTGTTGTTTTGGAGTCTGTCCTGAAACTAGCTCTTGTAGACCAGGCTGGCCTCAAACTCACAGAGATCCGCCTGCCTCTGCCTCCCAAGTGCTGGGATTAAAGGCTGCGCCACCACCGCCCAGCCAGCAATGCATCTTTTAATTTCCATTTTACAAACACATATTTGACTTTTATTTTAAACCTAATGCATTTTAAAAATATTTAGGTTGTTACATTTTATCAGACTCCCTTTCAATCCTGTGTTTTCCAGCAGTTGTCTCTTGTCCATCAAAAAATTCAAAATCAACACAATACTATATATAAAGGATCCAGATGCCCTGTATATTTTCTATCTTTACATGGCTTTTTTTCTTTTATATCATTTTACTGTCTCTTTAAAGACTTTGTTTTTTAAAACTATATACTTCTTTTTATAACTATCTTTACTATTTTTCCTCTCTCACACACAAAACTTTGTACATTTTTTTAAACATATTGTGACCCGTTTAGAGATTTGTGTGGTTTTTTGTCTGAATTCGGCTTTCGTGTGTATCTGTAAAAATTATTTGATCACTGTTTTAAATTGGTCAGTGGGCTTGGCTGGGACAAAAGTGGCTGCTTTCGCCATTGGTTCTGTTCGACTTGACTTTTTAACATGGCAGAAACAACAATGAGCGTCACACTTACCCCCACCAACAACAACAACACCGTGATCAGGTAGCATGCAGCTAACCCACAAACATTTTTTGTCTCTATGAGCAAGAGCTAAATCCTCCACACACTACTAGGTAGCCTCTCTATCGAGGCCTGTGTGAGACTGTGGAAACCCATGATGCCGCTTTGCTCATGGTGGCTGGTGGCCGGTCCATCTTGAAGGCGGCTGTTGGAAGAAGAATCTCTGCAGTGCTGCTGTATGAAATTGTGAGAATGGGAAGCCCCTGCACCTCCATTTCTGTGCACTCAGAATCTTTTCAAAGCCTTTTCAGGTCTTATGTGGATCCACACCAGACCTTGGGAGCTCTTTGTCTCTGGCTTATTATTAACTAGCTCTTACAACTTAAATTAACCAATTTCTATTATTCTCTATTTTACCACGAGACTCCTGGTCTTTCACCTCACATCTTGTTCTCCTGATGCTGCAGGCGTCTCTTAGACTATGCCTTCTTTTTCCCTTTACCTCTCTTTGGATTTCCTTCCTGACTCTATTTTGCCTGGCTATTGGCCAGATCAGCTTCTTTATTAACCATATTCACAGCATACAGAGGGGCATCCCACATTAAAGGCCACACCTCCTAATAGTGCCTCTCCCTTGGAGGATCATTTTTTTTCTAACCACCATACTTGGAAGAATTAAAATATTTTAATTTCTTTGCATAATGTTTAAGAAGTTGAGAATGGCTATGGAATAGTGGGCCTTAGTGGGCTAACTACTTTTGATAGAAAAATATAAAATAGACGCAATAATGTTTATGAGTACAGATAATAAATAGCTACATACGTACCCATAAAATGACCACACATTTAAATCACAAGAGTACGTTTAATCATTGAAATAGGCAAAATGGTGACACCCGGATCTCCGCAGGCAGCATAGTGATTTGGTAAGAGTTTTCCTGTAAAGGGACGGTGCGGCTGGAAGCCAGTTTCCTATATTTCACTGGCTTGTGTTTGTTTATTTGTTTGCTTGCTTGCTTTGGTTGTGGGTTTTTTTGTTTGTTTTTGTTTTTTGCCCCTTTGGTTGAAAGCTGCTTTGCAGTTGGTGGATTAAGCCTGCAAGGCATGGGGAGGGCTTGGCAGAGAGGCTGTGTTGTTAAGAGAAGATGAACTTTGAGTCTTCGTCTCAATTGTGGCTCCCAAAGTCAGAAGGGTAAATGAAAAAGGTGTGGTTAAAGGCTCTTTGGCAGACTAGAGAAGCAGTTTGTAATTCTGTGAGCATACATAGAGATTAGCTATTAAAAAAAAACATAACTGGAGAGAGACAGTGGTGTGTTTGCTATAAGAAATGGATACAAGTCAGCAAGATCAGGAGTGGGTAGAGACAGACTTGACATTTTAGAAGGGCTGAGAGTTCAGCGTCTGCATTGACCTAGTCTGTCCAAGGGGGACTGGAGGTGGGAACATGTTCGCTCGGGTCTTCCAGGTAGAAGAAGCAATGGATGGATGGTTCCAGGGTTAGAGCCAGAGATGCACTTGGTGTCCATATGGTAATGGCTAAGCGGTCAGTGTAAAGGTCCACACCCATATGGTGGGTAATGGCTAAGCGGTCAGTGTTAAGGTCCACACCCATCCCCCATGGTTGGATCGGGGGAAGCAGAGAGAAGAGGAGAGTTTTTCAGCACCCATGAGTCACCACATGTATCAGAAAAGTCATAGGTTGAGACGCTGGGTGTTGCCATCCTGGAGAAGTGAAAACTGGGGGCGGGGTAGGGGGTCAGTGACTAGGAAGGCAAATTGAAGCAGCATTACCTTGCTCAGGAGGCAATAAACTCTCCAGCTAGCCAGAAAAGGGTTTTTTGGATCCAGCTGAGGCAGAGCTGGAATCCCTTGGTCCAAGGTAATAAGAAGTTCTATGTGCCCAGAGTCGAGCTGTGCAGGCACAGTACCCTGGGCATCAGGTAGGAGATTAGTATGGTGGCACCTACTAGCCTCTGTCCTGACGAACCCAGGTGCGCAGGCTGAGGACCTTGTCCCTTGCCTTAGGTTTCTCCCTCCCCCGTCCTAGTCTCCTGGTCCCTACGACCTTGGACACCAGTTCACCTTGCCTCCTCCCTCAGAACCCTGATTTGGGCTGACCCCTGACCTTTAGGCTGCCCTTCATGCTGCCATGCAGAATGTCGCCATTGTCCTGCACCAGGGGCACGGATCCGAGTCCTACTCTCTCTTCTGGGCCCCAGATGGATGTCGCTGGAGGACTCAGGTACTTTTCCTTACTAAGACCCTGCTACCACAGAATTATTAAAAAGTATCATTTAACCTAGTGAAGCTGGGTTTCCTCCTCTAGAGAAAGTACAATTGAATGCAGCTCCTCTCTATCCATGGGCTTTCAGACTCAAGTAGAGTTTGTACAAACTCCAGGACTAGAGCCATGTTAATTCTCTTCACTGTGTTTCTTTCGTTTTAACAGGTCTGAGTCAATTTTCAATGCAATATTCTGGAAATGCAAGCACACACACACACACACACACACACACACACACACGACCTCTTCTCTCTAGGAGCTACACTCTGAGCTTACCACTACTGTTCAAATCCACCCTCCAAATGACTATGGAGCAGCACCACACAGCAGTTAAAGGTGTCCCTGCAAGGCTTTCCTGGCTCAGAAAAGGGTGAAGACCAAAAGAAAGAGAAATAGAACAGAAGACAAGATTCATCAACGTTCCAAAGATGGAGGGTACATGAATGGCTTGGGTGAAGAAGCCTTGGGAGAGTCAGGGACTGGGGTGGGGCTGGGCTGCTTCCTCACCCAGGAACGAGACCAGAAGTAACAGTAG